TGCGTGTGTGCATGTGGGGGGGGGGGTGTGTACGCGCGTGAGCGTGCACGTGCGAAGCGTGCCAGAAGTCTAGGGTAAAAGAGGGGAGAGATTTTTCTACTCAGTGGTATAGTGGTTTTTGAGGAGGGGTCTCACTAGAACCTGGATCTTTCCAATTTAGCTAGGATGACCAGCCATTGAGCCCAAGGGCTCCTTTCTTCTCTGCCTTCTCACTGCTGAGATTGCAGGGGTACACTATCAACACCCATCTTTTTACAGCCTAACTGGGATCAGATAGTACTTTACTGGTAGATATCTCTCTCCCTTCCTCTCTCTTCTTCTTCCTCCCCCCCCCAACAAAGATTTAAATGTAGAAAAAGCATAAGAAAGGAGGAGAGGAAAGAAAAGCATCAAGTCCTGAATAGAGCCTAGATGAAATTTATAATTTCTGAGTAGTAAAGAGCTAAGGAAGATCTGATGTCAGAAACTACAAAAAAAAAAAATGGCTCATTTGTTTACTATGCACAGAAGTAATACAAATAAGAAAAACAAAAGGAAAATGGGCAGAAACTATAAACTTAATTGAAAACAAACTGAGGGTGTAGCTCAGTGGTGGAGCATGTGTTTTGCATTTGTAAAGTCCTGGGCTGGATCCCAACACTGAGGGGAAGGTGGGAATGGGGGCAAGGGTGTGATAAAAATAAGCCATATGCCTTTTTAAGTACACCACTGAGTAGAAAAATCTCTCCCCTCTTTTACCCTAGACTATTTGAAGTCATGATACGGTACTACGTGGTAGAATGCTTAGTGTTTTGAAATGTGTAACCTGATGAACATAGTCTACTACTTTAGAAGAATAAAAGAACATTAATAGTTTGTGTTGAAACTGGATGTCGATTTATTTCAGGATTATACACATGAATTCCATAAAACCAAAGCAAACTTTATGGCAATACGGGAAAGGGAAAATCTCATGGGATCAGTACGAAAAGATATTGAGTAAGTTACCTTTCATGTTACTGTATAAAATGTTTGTGTGGATTTAAGCTCTATCTGTGGTTAATTGCAAATTGAGTAGCAAAACCAGAATTTAGATTTTGGGGTTTTTGATTTCCATTCCATTGTCCTTTGTGCCTTGTTATAGTACTAGCTGAATCTACTTTGCCCTCTCCCAGTCTTCCCTTGCCAACCTTGCTCTTAAGTCCACCTTGAATGATCCCTTCCTGCTCACACTAAGAATGGCATGATGGCCAGTAACTGTCTATTTCCCCATCATTTGCTCCTCTCTGTTGCCCTGGAACTTATTTATTCTGATAGCTATCAACATCCCTGAAATTCTGAAACATTTGCATGTGGGCAGGAGTTTCCAGGTTTAATACAAAATCGAAACCTTATATGAAATTAAGGACTTTCAGCATTTTACAGTGATCTTCGTCCATAAGATTTGCTCTTTTCTTCTGTTCCTTCACATGATCCTTTTTGTAGGCATTCGTACAGTTCAGGAATTTTTAAAAAATTGTTCTTAAAGGCCAGTTGTGGTGGCCTAACTTAATCTCAGCACTCAGGAGGCAGAGGCAGGCACATCTCTATAAGTTCAAAGACAGCCTGTTCTATAGAGTGAATTCCAGGATAGCTAGGGCTACATGGAGACTCTGCCTCAAAAAGAAGGAGGAGGAGGAGAAGGAGGAGGAAGCGGAGGAGGAAGAGGAGGAAGAAGAAAAAAAAAGTGACAAAGAAAGTGTTCCTGATTCTTATTACTAATGGAAAGCAGGGAAATGGTAATATTGATAGAAGTAAATGTCATTTTTGCTAACTTTATTGTTTTGGCAATGAACATGGAATCCTGAAGTATGCCGAGATTGAACAGTTGGGTTTCAGTGTTCCTCAGGCTTTGGCTGGCCAGTGGCTGACACTACGGTGAAGTATAAAATGGTTTCAGTAGCTTTCTTGCCCCGTGTGCCATGTGCTAGTTAGTCTTAAGTTTTGCTTCTGTTGGAGAAAATGATGCAGAAGACAATACACAAAGGAAAGGTTAGGTCCCCTCATAAGAAGATTGGGTTGGTTCGGTGAAAAACGGAAAACCCCTAAATCTAAACTGGAGGAACATTTGTGTTTTATGTCTGTGATAGTATTTTTCAAGGGAAATGAAATGCATTATGTTCCAATAGTTTACTGGTCTCTTCTGCTATCACTAGGGTTAGTCCCTTAACCTGATGGTGCAGTATCTGCTAAATGTTCTTGCCTTTTCCTAATGTTGTTCTAGGTCATATAAAAGCGGGTCTGGAGTAAACAACAGGAGAACTGAACTGTTTTTGAAAGAACATGACCACCTTCGAAAGTGAGTACTACCTGATTTCCATGCTTGTAAAGACATTTATTTATAGTAAGGCCTTTGTGGGTGAGAATTTATCGCTGCTCCAAGTGGGTTCAGTGGAAATGGATGGCAGCTCATCAGCCATAATTAAAAGATCCCCTTTGAGAATTTTACTCTGTTCTTTGCCTGTTGTCTCTCTGCCTGCCTACTGCTATGTGGCTGTTATCCTTACTGCAAGTTATTAATGGGATCCGTAATAATAATGCTGATAATTTATGCTTGAATGGTCTCTTACCACTTATTTATTGAAGAAGATTTATAAAAGTTATTAAGACCAAAAATCAAATGGAAAAAACAAAACAAAAAAATTTGCTTCCCAAGATCTCAGCAGAAATGATTGGTGGCATATACATGCATTTTAAAACAAGTCCCCACATACTACTCTTGTGCCATCTATTTTTTACCATGATTTTTTTCCTTGTATTTTGTAGTAGAACTTGAGGATCAGAATAGTTGTCTCTGAGCTCAGCTTGTCAGCCCTTGAATATCCATAATAGTCAATGTTAGGATTAGTTTGCTACTGACTGTCATTAATTGGTTATGTCTGATAAGCTTAAGGTACTGTTGAATTTGTTTCCCTGTAAAGGCTACCACTTTAAATATAAACTGTTAAAATCAAGACACAAGAGGCTGGAGCAATAGCTCAGTAGTTAAGAATACCAGCTGCTCTTACAAAGAACCTGGGCTTAATTCCCAGCATCTATCTACATAGTGGCTCACAACTGTCTGTAACTGCAGTCCCAGGGAATCCAATGTCTTCTTCTGGACAACACAGGCCCAGCCACACATACACCCATACACATAAAAATGAAAAAAATATAGAGAGCAGGGTGTGGTGGTACATGTCTTCAATCCCAGCTACTTAGAAAAGAAAGTCAGAATGGTTGCTTTGTCCCAACAGTTCAAGACCAGTCTGGGCAACAGAGTAAGAGTGTATCTCAGCACATATGTGTAAATGCATGTACATGTACACACACATAGTGTTACCAAGTCTTGTACTTGGTGTTGAGGATTGAAGTCATGCTAGGCAAGTGCTCTTTCTGAACTATCCACTTGGCCAGTTAAGATCTTTTGTTTTGTTTTGTTTTTTGGTTTTATTATACATCATTGTGTGTGTGTTATGTGTGTACACACAAATGTGTGTATATATGAATGTAGAGGCCTGAGGCTGGGACTAATCCTCTCCCACTCTCCCACCTTATTCATTAAGGCAGGGTCTCTCAAGCCCACAGCTCGCCAGTATGACTAGTCTTTCTGGCCACCTTGCTCTGGGGATCCTTTGTCTTCTCATTTGGAAGCTTGAGTTCCAGGTGGTCCACTACACCTACCCGGTATTTTCCTTGATTTCTGGTCATCTGAATTCTGGTGGTCATGTTTGCATGGCAGTCTCTTTAGCCAGTGTACCATCTCTCCAGCTCCTTTTTTGTAAATTACTTTTTAAAATTTATTTTGTGTGCCAGGCATTGGTGGCGCACGCCTTTAATCCCAGCACTTGGGAGGCAGAGGCAGACAGATCTCTGTGAGTTTGAGGCCAGCCTGGTCTCCAGAGTGAGTGCCAGGATAGGCTCCAAAGCTACACAGAGAAACCCTGTCTCGGAAAAAAAAAAAAAAAAAATTATTTTGTGTTTGCAGGGTTTTTGTCCCAGCATGCACATGAAGGTCAGAGAACAAGTTTTAGGAATCTCTTCTTTCCTTCCTCCATGTGGGCTATAGGGATCAAACTCAGTCTTAGCCTTGGCAGCATGCTGAGCCAGCTTATGAGGCACTAGTTCTTTTATTTGTTGCATATTATTGATTGGTATGGGGGCAGTCTCTTCTAGAGTATATAGTTACAGACCCTTATAGCCTTGGTAGTTGTTTCTGTGTTGGGTAAAAGTACCATGAAAGAATTTTGTATTGCATCCAGAACTATATCAATATACTCCTAGAGTACAGAGTAATTCAAAAGGCACTATATTCAAGAAATACAGAAGAAAATTTAGATTGTATTGGTGTTTCTGTATTTATTGCCTCAAAAAGGACAGTCAGCTGGGCATGGTAACACGTGCTTAAGTATCACAGCCTTTAGGAGGCTGAGACAAGAACCTCACTAGTTTAAAGCCAGCCTGAACTATGGAGTGAATTCCAGGCCAGCTTAGCCTATGCAGTGGTTTTGTTTCAAAATTCTGAAACAAAATTCTGAAAATTCTGTCATCTCCTATTCTCTGCATCTTGGCCAGTTCTGCATCATTCAGTACACCCCTAGCCCTATGGGAGAGAGAGAGAGAGAGAGAGAGAGAGAGAGAGAGAGAAAGAAACACTATACTAACTATATTTCCTGTTGTAAGAAGTATAATGAGATCTATATGGGAGGTTGAAATGTGTGGATTATAAATTTGAGGCAAGACTGGACAACATATTGAGACTTTGTCCCCAAAAAGCAGCAGGGCTGGAGAAATGGCCCTTCCACCAAGAAAAGGTACTTCCACCAAGCCTGATGATCTGCGATCAGTCCAAAGACCTGCATGGTGGAGGGAAAGAATCAACTATATAAGTTGTCTTCTGACCTTGTGACGCATGCATGCATGTATGCACACAGGATAAATTAAAATGTAATTTTAAGTGTGTGAGTGTTTTACCAACATATATGTGTACTGTATGCATGTCTGGTGCTCAAAGAGGCCAGAAGAAGGTGCTAGACCTGTGAAATTGTAGTGAAAGGTTGTAAGCCACCATGTTGGTGCTGGGAACTGAACTCAAGTCTCTGTAAGGGCATCAAGTGAGTCCTCTTGATGCTGAGTCCTCTCCATCCCTTATATTATTTTTTAAATAATTATTAAAGATTTATTTATTTTATGTGTATGGTGCTCTATCTGCATGTACACCTGCAGGCCTCGGAAGAGGCATCGGATCCCGTAATAGACGGCTGTGAGCCACCATGTGGTTGCTGGGGATTGAACTCAGGACCTCTGGGAAAGCTGTCAGTGATCTTAACCTACAAGCTATCTCTCCAGTCTCACCCCCAGCGCCTAATTTAAAAAAAAAAAAAAAAAAAAAAAAAAAAAAAGCTATAAAAGATGATGCTTGGAAACTCCCACAAATACTGTTTCTCCTCAAAATGTTCTCACTCAGTTTAGCATTCATGTCTGATCTTACTCTCATTGCAGTGTTCTTTCTCATGGTGGTTTGGTTTCATCAGTTCTTTTTACATTGACTTTAGACCTGTAAGGAAGAGCTATCTTTTCCTATATTTTACTCTGTTCCTCAGCATGGACTCATATGCAAGTAGGGTTTTGTCTGGGACTGTAGTTACTTTGTTGCTCACATCATTGGGTCTCATTTGGGTTGCATCTGTCATTTGACATCTGGTAGCAGAAACATTTGTGGTTTCTGTTATATTTTCCTTCCCTCAGCTCAGCCACTTTACTAAACGGCCTCAGTTTCTTTTATTAGCAAGTGTTATTTATGAACTTAGATCTAGGCTTAAGGGTTTTGTTGTTGTTTTATTGCCAATGTGGTAATTGTTTCCAGGCTCCTTCTTGCTAATATCATGAATGGGGTTCAGTTTTTTTATTTTTTATTTTTTTATATTTTGGTTTTTCAAGACAGGGTTTCTCTGTGTAGCTTTGGAGCCTGTCCTGGCACTCGCTCTGGAGACCAGGCTGGCCTCGAACTCACAGAGATCCACCTGCCTCTGCCTCCTGAGTGCTGGGATTAAAGGCGTGTGCCACCAACGCCCGGCAAGTTTTTTTTAATTAATCAATTAACTGTAACTATTGAGGGGAACAATTGTTCCTCTTTAATTACCGTAGTATGATAGATTACAGTATTTTCTAATATTAAACCAGTATTGAATTTCTGGAATCCCACTTGATCATGAAATTTCTTTTCTGTAACTGCTGGACTCATTTTAATGAATTTTGCATTATTCTTATGAAATATAACTGAGTTTTCTATTCTGGAAATGTCTTTGTGTGGTTTATATCACAAGTAATACTGTCCCTTTTAAGTGACGTGGCATGTGTGCCCTTTGTATTTACTAAAGGAGTTTGTGTAGGGCTTACCAGTGAGTCCACGCAGCTCAGGGTTTCCTTTGTGGTAAGGTTTTCCAGTTGTAAGTGGTGTGGATATTTGTAGATAAAGGGCAAGAAGTCTGACTGTAACTGGGCCAGTAGGTGGCTCACCGTAATCAGCTCAACGTGAGGCATAAATCCTTCTTGTTGCCAGAGGAGTTGGAAAACTACCAGAGAGAATGTGGTGTGCTCAGGCACCAGTGAAGCTGTTCGCCAGGTGTTAGCATCCATTTGGGCTTTCTGTTTTCTGCTCGAGTGCAAACTGTAGACAGATGTGGTGTGCTTAAGCAGAACCTCTTCACCTAATCAACTTACTGAAAGAAGTTTTACTTTAATCTTCTCTTCTTCCCCCATTCCCTCAAATGAATGAGCTTTTCCTGGGGCTGCAGTGCCCTCCATATGGGGTCATCTTGCCTAACTGTCTTGACTCCATTGCTCATCCCTATCACTTTCTCCCTTGGCAGCTAGCTGCTTGTCACAGGGGCCTGTTTCCTTTCCCAGGTACCAAGCCCTTTCCCTGTGATCCTTTTTGTGCCTTTGCTTTGTTTTGTCCACATGTTTTCTTACTCTTCCAGAGAACTTGTTTGTTGAAAAGTTTAGGTTCTATGCCTATCTGTCCCTCCTCATGGAGGCCATTCCTACTCATTAACTCAGCTGGCCCACCCTTGCTAAGGCTTAACAAAGCCTCTTCTTATTTCCCTCAAAGCACTTAGGACAGTACCTAGTGGTTTATTCTTTCTGTCTTTTCCCTGTTGGACCCTCCTTAAATATAAATTTCATGAGGGAGAACTTAGTCTACCAATAGCATGTTTGGTTCTCCAGCCCCTGTTGTACCATTAACACTAAACACCTAGTTATATAAATCAGTGGTTACAGGCAAAGCTATTGATTTTGTTTTCATAAACATGAATA